TGGTTCATCTATTAATAAATTGGTAGAGTGTGACTTTTGAAGATTCGTCTGAAATAAGTTTTTTTTGGTTTAAGATTGTTGGTTTTTTTATTAGCCGCTTGGACCATAAAAACCCATTTCTATTTATTTTTTGTTATACTCCCTCCCCCTTTAAATTTTGAACATATGGCATGGAAAGTTATCAACCTTGTTTCAGCATAATAGTTTTCTAATTTTTATAATTAATGTTCTTTGAAACAGTGTCTTTTTGTGCTGCTTATCTATATAATCAAAAATTATATTTCATAGAATTACATGGAATCACTTCTACCCAAAACACCATTCCTGCTTGACCAGTCTTTTAGTATTTACTTTACAACACACCAAACTCAGATTATTTATCACTAATTTGTCTGCAAATCTGGGTGTCCGATGTTTGAAGTTAGTGTGCTGTACATGGACATATAAGGTAATTAGCTCAGTATGAAATTCCAGTCCAATTTATTCTTAGCTCCAGACTGGTCTTAAGAGTAGGTAAAAACACCACCCATCCCTCAGCTGCAGCAATTTAATCCCCCACCACTAACACCAGTGCCAAGAACTAGTACTGTAAGATGCTAGTGAAGTAACATTAACCAATGCCCAAAGCACATTACCCTGTATTCTACATGTCTAGTGGAGAATGGTAAGAGGCATTTTTTCATGCCCGCCAGCACAAGATGTCAAAACCATCTTCTACTTCCAGACCTACTGAGGAAAGACCACCCTTCTTTTGGAGTAGCAGTTCTTGCATTGAATTGTGCTGTATATGCTTGCATTCACAAGGATCTGGAACTTGAAGTGCAAGCAGCACAGACATAATCATAAATTTTGTAACCAGTGTACATGCTGTGAATGTTGTAGTGCAGGGCTACCTAATATTTTTTTAACCTCAAGATTTAGAGTAACAGCTTTGGATCTAGTATTTTGGATTTTATTTATTTTTATCAATCTCAATCTGATAATACAAGCTGTAATACTACACAATTTTTGTTTTACTAAATTTTGGATCTAACTGCATAGATAAGGGACACATGGAGAAAAAATAATTATTGGGAAAGAAGCACATTTTAGACCTGAAGACAGAAATTCAAATAGATAAGCTGATAGATAGGGTGGGGGTGGGGGAAGGTCAGTTAAACCTCTTTTTTTTTTAAATGAAAAACTCAAGATGGTAATTTCAAGCAAAATTTAGCTACATTTTCTCATTTAACAAAATATGTGTTAAAAGAAAAAAGAATGGACCCAACCCTATCATTGATAGATTTGATTGGTTTGATGACTTGCATTATAGTAGGACACTTCATGGAAGCCAATGCAGGCTGGTCTAATAGTTGGGTTTTTGAACCCATACCTTCGAGTCATGCAGTCCAACCAAATTATTGCATCTCCAGTCTTAGATAGATAGGTATATAAAATTAAAATATAAAAATTAAGCCAACCAGAGAGTTAGAAAAATATAAAAACTGATTATTGGTATTTTTTATTTTGATAGAAGCTTCCATAATAATTTATGATTTGTTGGACATTATGCTCAGGAGAATAGTTTGATACCATGAGAACAACTTTTGTATAAAGACTAAACTTCTGCAAAATTTCTTACTAAATATCAGCATTTATTCAAGTTATAACTACTTTGGCAGATATCTTGAAAAAATAACTAATATCATTATTATAAACACTTTGTAAAATTTCTGTATGCTTAATAAGGAGCCCTTTCCTCCCTTGCAGTGTAAGAGGTCGTGGGTTCGGTCCTCGGCGTAGTCATACCAAAAACTTTAAAAAATGGTACTAACAGCTGCTTCGCTTGGCACTCAGCATTAAGAGGTTAATGTTAGGACTGGTGTCAGGATAATGTGACCTAGTGGGACATCATGCCACATATCATCGGCATGATGCCCCAGTGCTGGATATCAATACAAACTGTCATACTGCAGACACTATAGCAATATGACTGAAAAATTGTTAAAAGCTAGTCAAAAATCTAAATCACACACACACACACACACACACACACACACACACACACACACACACACACACCTCCTTGAAAGCTCTGATGTAACAAAGAAATAACCAAATTGGTAACTAGCTTCAGTTATGACCTTTTATATAGTTTAATTCAACAGTTCCAAATTTTTAAGTTCTTGTTTAAGAGGAACTTGAAAGATCAGGTTCAAACTATTGGTGATGAGTACAGATTTATCACTTCCATTTCATGATTGCTATGCTAATACCTAATTATGACAGTTTCCCTTTAAGTATGATCAACCATGTAGATCGATTTTTAAGTGGGGAGATTCAGGCTAGATAAAGGTGTCTATTTCTTTCAACAGCAGATCTTTTATGCCAGAAAAACCCCTCTCCAAATGTTGACCAATCCCCATAGTTTTAAATGAGGTACTGCCAGACAAGTTATTACCTTTTTTGTGACCTGTCTGACCTGGACTAGTTTATGTTTGGTCTGCTTATAGCTGTGTCCAGAAGGTTTGGTGTACCTATTCAATACTTCTTTTGTAGACCAGAGCAAATGGCTTTGTTCTAGATTTGTACAGTTCAGTGGGATGTATCACACTTGAATGCTTGTATACATACATTGCATAGGGAGCAAAAACCCTGGCCTGAATGTGAGATCCTCCAAAGTGATAGAGTGATTTGTTGACTTTTATTCTCCCTGCATAATGCAAAGTTATTCACTATTTGAAATTGCACCTACAAGCATTTTGAGCCAGGTTTAGAATACCTGCAATTAAGAAAATTCAGTTTTATTCACACATCAGCGTTACTTGTCAAGTCATGCATAATTCAGCCATCAGTGTCTTTCAATTTATAAAATTGGTCAATAAAAAGTAGCAAGGAGTATTAAATGCAGCTTGAAAAAGTGCCGACATTTTGTTGTTACCCAGGTTTCACCACAATTATGACAGGCCACTTATACTTGCTAGCAAGAAAGCAGACCCAGATCTGCCTTCACATAAAGTACTGGCTTATCAAGGTCAACATTTCATGTTTTGATGATTAGTCATAACAAATCTAAAACAAACCTGATCTGGTCCATTGTGCAATGGCAGATCTAGGTCTCCACAGTTTACATTTATCAGACTTTTTAGTATATATCTTGACTGAACCCATTCACTTTCACTGATAACTAACTTTGGAGAAAGCATCAGCATCGCTAGTATATGTCATAATTACAGGATAAGTTTTTGCTTCTGGTTTATTTATTTTCCACATATCCTGAATAGGAATGGCAAGCAATATGCATGCATGGTTTAATTTATTGCACAAGACCATCTGATGTATGCAGACATTTACATGCGAAATGACAATTTACTGAAATGAGGTGGCAGTCCCAGTTAAGGCATATTTGGCACAGTTTTACTAAACAAATTTATTTAATGCATTCAAATGCACAAACCAATTTCATTTTAAGCATTTATTCCAAAGTTATTAGTCTAATGAACCTGCTGTAAGGACACTTGATGTTATATGATGGCATGTTTGATCAATAGAAACTGTGCTATTGGTTTAAGTTCCAGATGTTTTGTGCAGGTTTGAAATTATAGTGCTAGTTCACAATGAGAACACTCACTTAAATGGAAACTTATAATCAAACACACTCTACTAGTCTTGGTCACAAAGCTGCTTGATGCATTTAAAAAGGTGTGATGACACTCTTGATGATTAAGGTTCAGTTTTGTTTTGTGTACTGTAATTTTCAGAATATACTCTACTGAATTTCATGAAAATGTAGTTTTAAAGACCAGGGTGTAATTTACTCAATTTATCAAAAGCTTCTTTAGAACTCCAGTTATTTTGTGAACATGGCAGACTACTAACTTGATATGGTACACCAATTAGACATTGCTCCCAACTCAAGTTGTCAATGATGTGCAGGAGGGTGGGCAGGATGCAACATAAATTATATGGACATGGATGCTATTGGACTTGGAAATTTTGTATGATACATTTTTATTCTTGAAAAATGGGAGACAGCAGTTTTCAGAAATTGATGGGAGGCATTGCTTATTCCCAGAAAATGATAGCATTGGTTCACATACATATTGGTAATAATTTTCTGGTAGGTTTGAGTATACATGTCTGCCTGTGCTCCAGATGATTCTATACTACTGCATCAGTTGTGGGAGAGTATTAGAACTTTATAATGTTAATTATACAGACCATCAATATTTCATTGCATTAAATGATCTTTTGAAACTAACATGTTATTCTCAATTAGGTTTAATTTCAGAATTTGACCTGTTTGGCACAAATTGTATGTGTATTGATAATACACATAATTGCTGGCTTGGCTTGTTGGGTTCAATAACATTTTTTAGTTTATGATAGGAGGAAGAAGCCTGAAAGAACCATTGACTTGCATCTGTTCTTACATAACTACGTTGGTCAGACTCTTGACCCATAGGAGAGGTAAGATGAGAGTAACCTGTGGCATCCAGAGTCTCAGACCACTCCGACAACTGGGGCCATTTTTCAAACTAGTAAGCAAGAAAGTACTGTATATTACATGCTTAAAAGTCCAACTGCAAACTGCACAGATCCAGATCTGTTGCATTATTTGCCAGCAGATCTGGTTCTATGAAGTTTGTTAAGAGTAATCAGTAGAACAAACAATGTGGACCCTGATCTGTGGGCACATTATTCAGTGGAAGATCAGGATCCTTTTGGCTTGCAGTTTTACTTGACTTAAAAGTGAGTACAGATAGTATAATCAAGGAAACAAAGCAGTGATGTGATTATGATTTTTAATGTAGCTTTAATAATTTTTCAGTGGTATCATGCTATGATGTCTGCAGTTTGGCAGTTTAAAGTTATGTCTAGCACTGGGCCACAGATATGTAGCATGAAGCCACCCAGTCACATTAACCTGACACCAGGTTGACCAGTTTTAATACTAACCTCTTAATGCTGAGCACCAAGTGAGGCAGCTGTTAGTACCATTTTTGGTAAGTCTTTGGTATGACTTGACCAGGGATTGAACCCACGACCTCCAGTATCTGAGGCAGATGCTCTAACCACTAGGCCACTGAAGTGGTTCAGAAACAAAGCAAATAAGCAACTACTTGCCAGGAGTCTATTGTTACTCATCCATTGTTATTTTGGGGAAGCTAAACATGTATTTTGAGTGGCTCGATGGTTAGCCTTTCAGACTCATAAGGGAGATAAGCATGTCTTTTCAGTGTTTTCCAGACTTGTAATCAAATAAGTATGCATCCTTGTCCAGAACAGTTATTGTCATTCACTATGTTGATTTATATATTTTTAGCACTGAACTTGTAGTAATTAATCAATCAGCTAATCAGTCAGATCAGATGGTATCCATTAAATGTGACAAAAATCTTGCACCGTGCACACACACAGTTTACATTCATACAAATCTTGCAAAACCTTTTTCACTTTTTAAAATTTGCCTTGTATAGTTTTTTTCTTAAATAGACATCTTGTACATTTCATACTGTATAATAAAACAATGCATGAACATTTCATGATGTACAGTAGTTAATCATCATATGCTGTACACAATTCTAGTAAATATGGCTGTTCATTGGTATTAGAGTCTAACTTTTACAAAAGCTAAGTGTATTGAAGGAAGTAACTAAAGGCTAGTATGAAAATTTACATCCTACTGATTTGCCCACAAGGCAGTTGGATTCACCCAAGCATAGTACACTGCATAGAGCCCCAAACCTGATTTTTAAAAAGTGAATGATTATATGTTATTAAAGCAAGCATGTTTTATTACTCTCCACAGTGGAGAGCTCACCAAGGTGTGGCAAGACACTATAGATATTACAGGTTTCACACATGGTTTGTCAAAGTAGATATAGTGGTGTGACAAGTTTACTATAGTCTGCAGTTTATACAGTGACATGCACATAAATATAATACAGTCGGTTGCCCATGTCTTAATGGGTGCTAATGACCTATAGGAGACTAGAGCTGTGGCCATCTGGAACTCTCAAAGAACATTCAAAGACAAGTGCTGGGTACTGTAGGTGGTAGTGTTTTTGTAATGTCACTGGGGGGTTTTACCTCCCTTATAAGGACTGCTTCATTTGATGCAGTAAATTACTAGTATTTTTGTAGATGAAGAAGAGTTGTGAAATAAAATTGAATATGCCATACTTGAAATAAGCATATTAAATGTGCAGTTTTCAGACAGCTAGTCCATAGGACTAAAACTCACAGCTTCAGTCCTTTGTGTCTATTTATAGTCACAAAAATGTTTCACTTGTTCATGGCAGGAGAGCAGGACAAGTAACTTTTTCTATCCCATCAATAGTGGACAATTTTTACATTGGGGCCCTGGGTTGCAGAATGGCCTAAAGCACTCACAATAGTGGACAATTTTTACATTAGGGGCCCTGGGTTGCAGAATGGCCTAAAGCACTCACCTTTACTGGTCACTGTATCTGTCTGTATGGGTTCAAGTCTCATATTCAGCCATTGTTGGTAAGTGAGAAAACTTGGCCAATAGCCAAATTGACAAATGGATGATGGGGTCTAGAGTCTAAGGCACTCTCCATTATGGATTACAGCCTTCTCACCTGTCTGTGTGGGTTCAGTCTAAGATTTGGCAAATGTGGATATGTGAGAATGCTTGCCAGTAGCTTCTCATGGGTGGTGGTTCTTTCCACTTTTCGATTCTTTCTCCACCATTAATACTGGCTGCCACATATAGCCTGTTGTGTGCTGAAAAATGGCATTAAGCCCCAGAACAACAACAACAACAACAACAACAAAAAATGGATGAATTAGTGTCTCTGGCTGGCCAAATCCTGGGGCACTTTGCACCTGATTAACTTAACAGCCTGAGTACCACAGGTTTTTTATGCATTATTCTCTAAAGTAATTTTAAGATACTGGATGTAAGATTGGGAAGAAATGTAATCAAGCCATGAAAATCTTGAGCAAATTTGCCAAGTTTGGATTACAGATGATTTTTTATTTGAAAACATTAAAAAGTATGATATTATAGGAGACTGGTTTTTAGCTGGAGAAGTTTGCATTTTTTTGTAGCCAGCCAATATTAGAATGCTTTCTAGTGGTATTTGCATCAACACTAATAGCTTTAAAAGCATTTTATTTTATTTTTTCTGTTGAGCTAATTTTATATTACCTGATCTATATTTATATAATTGAATGCAAAGAAAATGTACATAATGCTATCATTTGGTATTTGCATCAACTCCAACATTAAAAGCATTTCATCTGAAGCTTTTTGAATGAGCTTTTTTAACATTACCTGTTCTATAATTATACAATTGAAGGCGTAGTCAATGTATAAAGTAACAGTAATGATTTTTCATGAAGTCAGATGTAAAAGGTGGAATTAGCCTGATGTAATCAAGATAAAAGGGGTTTGACTGTGTACTGCTTATAAGACAACAAACTGTACTGGGCAAATTGTGCCATTTTTTTAGAATATGATGTAAAGGATAATATTAATTGACATCCTATAATTTACAATTATGTTCAACTGAAAATACCCTTTAAAACAAATTATGAATATCATATATATATATATATATATATATATATATATATATATATATATATATATATATATATATATATATATATATATATATATATATAAAATCTCCAGAATAATCCATGAAAATTGTTATCATGAATCCAGCATTGGTCACTTTTGATAATGTCAAAAACACTGGTATGAAAAAATCATGGCATATGAAAAGTTTCTGTCATTCTTATAGTGTATCTATCCAGTGTTTCTTGTTCCATGTCAGCATTATTTTGCATAAAGTCATACAGTAAATTTTCACATAAAGAAGTCATGTCCACAGTTCAAATAAAAATAAAAAACTGTCTGGTGTTTGTAAAATGCAGTAGCATCTTGAATGATTGAGGTATGTTTAAATACTGTCTGTTTTATTTAATACCTAATATTGTACATATAATAAATAATAAAAATCAACAAATTTTTAGGGATTAATAATAATTAGTAGGTGCATGCATATCTTTGGATTTACTCAGAGCTCATAAAGATAAATTAAGTAACATATATAATTACCTTTGGGCATCATAGATCAAGAAGATACATTTTAAAAAGTGACCTATGCTAAACATGAAAGCAGAGATGAAAAACTGAATAGGTAACATTCTTGCTAATTGTCAAAAAAGAACCAAGATGATGTTAAACATGGCAAGAATATGTTTACATCACTTCTGTTTTAAAGTGTTATACAGTTTAGTTTCCTTTACAAAGTTAATGTGGAAATAAAAATAATAAAATTACTATAGATCTTAATGTTAACCTTAGGATTTTTAAGTTCCAGTGTATAGTGGAACATTTGTGGTAAACATTGCAGCTTCATTGGACATTTTCTTGTTTTTTTGTTTAATGCCACTTTTCAGTACATGGTAGGCTATACAGGTGGCCATACTAATTGATGGAGGAAGGACCCAGGGAAAACCCCAAAAAAGAACTTCTACATTTTGAAATTAATCTTGTGAAGTCTACAGCTAATTAAATAATTACTGGGATATGACAACTTGCAGATGTAATTGCTGTATCTCATAATTTAATTTAACCAAAGGAATCGGGCATAGCAGTTGAAGGCAATGATAAGTTGTCCCATTGGAATGAAATTTTGTTCCAAAATGTGTGAACAGTTTTGCTGTTGAATGATTTTTGTTGCAAATGATTGGTTAGGTATGACATTGAATGGCACAAGTGATTTAGTTCCAAGGCATCTGGAATAAAGTGCCTCTTCTGAGGATACATCATAGTAGTTGACCCAGGCTGATCTGATAGTGGGATTTAAACTCATTCCATTTTGGTTGCAAGTACAAGATACTAACCACAGAATTGTTGCAACTACTGCCTCCATTGGATGCCTTTTGTAACATGCTAGAGGGCAGATTAGGATTGTTATTTATCCACAAACACACAATAGGGTGTTTTGCTAAATATATTGCATACCTAATATATCAAAATTTGTTACTTTTAAATAATAGATATTTCACTTTATTTTTGATTTTCAAAATAAAAAAAAATGGAAGCAATTTCATATGAATGAAGAAAGAAAAATATACAGTACATAGATAAAATTATTTTTCTTTTTCTTTTGGTGATTGAATTCATATTATAGCAGCTAAATGCAATTTCTGTTCACATTATTTCATGCCCGTCCTTCCTAGAATGGCACTAAGATGGCAGTGGCAGGGTACTGGACAGAAATAATGCTTCATCACATTCATGAATTCTTTGTTCTCATTGTTAACATAGATCAAGGAAAGATAGATGCTGCCTAGATCTGCCATATTTGTTGTTATGGAGTCTACAAATCCACCAGTGTTTAATCCTACATTCAGTCTATCATGTACTGAAAAATGGTGTGAAGCCCCACAACAACAACAAAATTTGGCTGTGATGCCCATGGTGTGTATATATACTGCAGGACATTTGTGGGCACAAGTACAGCCCATTTAATGTGACCTTGTAAGGTACTTATTTTCTTTGTGTGTCGAAGTGGTATATACCTTATATATAGGTCATGGGTACTTGTGTGGGTCAAAGCTGGCCAGGCAATAATTGCAGGTGCTCAAAATTGATGGGCTGTCCTTAAATTGCTTGCTTTTCCAATAACAAACATGTCACCTACTAGGCTAGACTAAAGGGCTCAATTGGGACAGGACTATTCTTCTGGTCAAATATTGCAGGTTGTCATGTCTAATTGTGATCTTTCTAAATTGAGTTTTGGTATGTACAAACATAGACAGGTTGGACATGTATGCACTTCACCCCCTATTTTTTAAAAACTGATTTAATCCAGAATTGATTGAATAGTGAGCTGGGTGCCACAACTTCATACGGGTCATATACTGTTGTCAGTGGTTGGTGTTGGTCTGTTAGTATCACAGTCCCATACATTGTGAATTATATAACTGTTCAGTAACTTTTTAAAGACATCATGGATTTAAGTCAAACTTGGTATGAGGCTTGACATTAATAAAACCACTACACAAGTTCGAAATTACTAGTTACTGGCCAAATTTTATGATG